GTTAGTTGTTGGACAGCTCCGAAATGCTGAGCAGCACTAGATCTGGAAGTTTTAAAGTGAAATGAGTTGATCTGCTTATGTTCCAAATGATCAGCAAGCCAGAAGCCAAAAACGCTTTATCTCAGCGAAAGAAGTCAAAAATGGACTAGTTGTGCATTTGCAGCTTTACATTCAATTTTCAGCCTTGTTAGTTGTTGGACAGCTCCGAAATGCTGAGCAGCACTAGATCTGGCTGTATTAAACTGAAATGAGTTGATCTGCTTATGTTCCAAATGATCTGCAAGCCAGAAGCCAAAAAGTTAAGAGGTAAATGTTACATTCAATGACATATGAAATGGTTAAAAGTTATATTGAGGGAATTGTTAGAATGTACTGAAATGTAAATTGAATGAAATGTCAGGATATTATTTCAAAACTTAATAAAATGTAAAAAGGAATAAAGTGTTGGGTTAATATTTTAAAATGAATAAAATATAAATGAGTAAGAGTTACTAAAATGCAAAATCAATAAAATGTTAGGTAATATGCAAGATTTAATAAACCCAAAATGAATGAAGTAATGAATTAATGTGATAGTACTTAAAATAGAAAATCTAGACAAAGAAATGTTATGATACTACTTCTGAAGTTAATAAGTCATGAATCCATCAAATGTTAAGATAAAAGTGAAGAAGTTAACATGCTATGAAAGGATGCAAAGTTAACAGATGAACAGAAATGTTAAGAGCACAGAATTTTGAATTTGCAAACCAATGAAGTAAATTAGCATTACAGGCAGTACAATCAAAATCTAATGATATTACATTGTTAAATGTTTAAAATTCCGTATAATACTCCGTATAATATAATCCGCAATGATACTAGTAAAATCAAATCAAATGAGTAAGTAACCATAAAAATGCTGTAAAATTGAATTCTAATGAGTTCAATAAAATCAAATCATATCAATCTTTGCTATAGCAAGACCTATCAACGTCAAAAAAGTTTCTGCGTGTGTCCAGATGCAGAGGCGGCGCAGCTCGATAGGAAACCCCGACAGTGGCCACAAGGCTTCAGTGTGGCGTTTCAGCTGTAAATTGGTCCACCAATTGTGGAAGGCGCCCACAGTCTCACATCCTGGCACACCCAGAAAGGATAGGACTTAATTTTGCAACACAAAAAACAAAAAAATGCGAAATCAATGGATTATATAATGATTACTAAAGTAAAGGAAAAATATTATCTTTTTTTATAGTAGATGCTAGTACTGCCCTTATACTCTAGAAAAATGGAGTTCCACGGTGGTCTTTCGGTCCCAGGAAACCACCTGATAGGCAGGTGGTGTTCTATTGGTACCACTACCCTTCTCTATGTTGGAAGTGATGCACTGAACAGCCAAGGACCTCAGGCAGGGAACAGCAGCATTCACAGTTGATGAGGAGAGCAAGGAAGATTCTTTAAGATTCTGCATCATCTGATTAGTAAACATAATGTTCTTTTTTTCAAAGGCTGCTCCTTGAAGCTGAAGATCAGGTTTTTTTTTCATACTAAGCCTATAGAGCATCAATATATCAGTAACATCTGTTATTTTAGTTTTCCTCTTAATAATAGTTAAGAAATGCTTAAATTAAGTAACACATTTCAACCTTCAAAAATAACTTTGCTTGTTTTAAGTGTTGGCATATTCATAGGATCAGATTATGAAATGAATGTGCAAAACTGCCTGGCCCACAGTCATGTTTTATCAAAGGAATATCATTTGAAATGTATATATGAATTATCCCTAATAGAAACTTTACCAGAAATTTTAAACCATATATAAATCTTTTATTTTTGTTATTTTAATCAAATTCAATCAAATAGTCCTCATTTAACAAGATTAACCCGCTATAATGAAGGGTTATAAAATACCATCAATAGTGTGAAAAGTTAATGATCTGTGTTAAATTAAGATCCCTTCTAATATATTCCATTCATGTAATAAAGGACAACCCTATTTTGTCTCAAACCAAAAACCACAAATTATGAATATGAGAGATGTTTAGACCTTATTACCTTAGATCAACAATTACACATAGAACTTGATTTTTTTTTTCTGTCAATCTGTTTGACCCCCTTTAAACAGTTCCATAATTGCTCATTCGTAAATTTCCAATTTAGACAAATTTAATTTGAATCCTCGTATTTTCTTCTCGTTTTAAAACCTCATATAATGATTAGCCTGTTTTACAAGAATAAAGTTAAACCTGTCACTACATATTTAACTGACTTATTTTATTCTCATCATGGTTTTAAATCCCAAAAGTTCAACAATTTCAACCTTTGAACAATTGGTTCTTTTGAAACCCCTAATATTTATTTAACTGAATTACCCTCTTTTGTAATGTTTATCATATTTATCAATGTTTTTGGCAGTGTGGGGGAGAAATTTGATACTAGATTTATTAAATTATATAATGTTCAGGTTAGACCTTTCAGCATGACTTGGTTAAACCACCAATTATTTCAAATTATAGCAAGAGAGATGCAGCAATTAAACAATCCCTTCCATATTTTAAGAAACTATTTTGTAAACATCTATTTGACACGACATCATTGTTAATTTTAATGTATTCAATTCAGAATATTCAGTATTACTTTAGAAACTCATTCAAATAGTTCAAACATTTATGAATTTTGATTTAACCTCTTTTATATTTTGCTGAAGCCCAAAACTGAAACATTTCTCAATAGATTAACTCACAATTTGCTTGAATAGAGTAATTCCATGCATCTCCCCCTGTTTCTGTATCGGAACACTGTATCGGAACACTGTTTCGGTACAGAAACTCCTAAGAAACCCACAAAATACAGTTAGCCCACATTTCCTTTCATTGCTAATTATAACAGTTGGATGTATTAAAACAGGGTGTTTACACCTTCAGTGAAATAATTGAATAGTTGAATGAAAACATGTTCAGTAAACCCATAATTTGGTTCAGTAATTTTCTGAAGAGTAGATTTTACTAAGATTTGAAATGGATTCAAATAAACTTAAATCATAACTTGAGATACTAGTCCTCATATTTGTAGTCACTGTAATTTGAGCCTACTAGACTAACCTCTTTTGTATTTGAAGTGTGGTTGGTTGTGCTTTTGTAAATCAGGAAATTAACAACTATTACCATACTTTTATCTGTTTTCAATCATTGTCATGCTGGAAGAGAAAAACACATTAGCCAGATGTTGAACAAACAGAATGAAAATTATTCAGGCAAACAAAATATTTCTGTAAACTGCAGAGAGTTCTAACACCCTGCTGCAAAGAGCCTTCACTCGTACCGTTAAACTTATCCTAGGGATCAAATAGCAGAGATCAGAATGCAAAGGCAGTAGACAGTGAATGTGTTGTAAATAAACTAAGGTGAGAAAAAGTGGCATCACACTATTCAAAAATTCAAGAAAAACCATTAAAAACGACCAAGTTTTGTTGGCAGCCATTTTGTCTCCAACCTGTAGACTGAGGGAAATCCCAGGGGCCCCGGGGCCCAGGCCACATGACCAGAGGCAAAGAACCAACCATGGCAACAGACAAACAGGACCACCTCTGAGTCTCACCCCGACTTTACATGTGATGTTCCATCAGAAGCTGTCCAGGGCAGCATTCATTCCAGCTGTGCAGAAAAATCTGGACAATGTATGTGGCCCCCCTTGACAGAGAGTGTAGGAGAGACAGAGAGATACAGCAGGTGAGTCATTGTTTTCAAACCTCCATCTCACATTGGGCAGAAGCAGTTAGAGACCCTCAGAAATTATGCCTGGGTCTCGTCCTTTAGCCAGGTGTTTCCTCAGAGATCAGATCCTGTAAGCTCCAGTCTGCCTTCAGGTGACAACAGGAAAAAACAATCCAACCTCACTAACCTCTGTAGAAGCTGTAAGGAATTGTCCAATAGGTCTTTGCTCTCAAACAATAGTCCACCAGAAGATGGCACAATTCATATGTGTAGAAAATGCAAATGTCCAAGTCAGCGTGGCTAAGAACAGCGAAGGCCTGATGCCAAAGCCAGAGGCCTTTCTCTTCACCTCCTCGCACGGCCCTGAACCCGCAAAACCCGGCCCCCATTGGCCCCCATCAGACCACAGGAAGCAGTAAAACACAAAGTAAATTAAGAAAATATAAGTGTATGCCACCTTTTGCTCACATATTTGTAAATTAAATGTCTTTTCTGTAGCTTGTGATGTAGATGTTTTTTTTGTTTTTGTTGTTTCAGCCAGGCTCAGGGTCACTGGAGCGGCTCAGATAAGGTCCACTGCCTCAGTCCCTGAGCTCCAAAGAAAAGATAAAAGAGAAATGCGTTAAGATGATTCACCCTCAGATGTTTCAGAATTAATCGATTATGGAATCAACTCCTCTCAAAAATTAAACTCTCAAAGATCATTAAAAATGTAAACAAAATTTAGTATTTCAGCTACATACACTTTTCATTAATTGGTTATTCAAATGCATATGTAAAATAATTAATTCAATAGTGTCCAATTTTACACAAAAGCATCCTTGTGATAATGCCATGTTTAAGACAACCAGTCAAATTTCCTTAATAATTTAGATCAAAAGGAAAACTGCAATCAAATGTTCTTTATACCATTAATGAAAACATTGCCATTATCCTGATATTTTTCAAAACGGCTGAGTGTTGTATTTATATATTGTTTTTTTCAGAATTTAAAAATTGTTCACATTTGAATTTTTCTCCGTGTCCCCTTAAGGGGCTCCGTAGAAGTTTATAGTACTTTTAACCAAAATTTTCTCAATTATAACAATTACATCCAACTGTAACTTTATACAATTAAAATTAGAGGTGATGCAGGAAATTCATCAATATGCAAATAAACATTGCATAGATATTGATTGAAGCTATTCAATTTTACATTACCATTTTAATTTAGTAAGATCTTCTATATAACTTTGTATTTCAGTCATGCAGAAAGGCACTGTATAAGACTCATTAAATAAACTCACAGTGGCGCAACTACACATTATTCAGGTGGATGCTGCCTTCAGGAGAATGGGACATCAGAGTACCATCCATAAAACTTCACC